GAAAACATCTTTTTTTCCTGTTGATAAAAAGCAGTGTAATTATAAAAAATTTGGAAGACTATGGAAATACAGAAGCTAGAAAGTAAATTGTATTTTCTACTCCCCTCCAGCCAGCAATAAGTATGTGGAGTCTGATGTCCATTTTTTCAGAGCGTTACATTACTTTTTAATGTAACTACTACTACTACTTCTTCTTTTTTTTTTTTTTTTTTAAAGATTTTATTTATTTATTTGACAGACAGAGATCACAAGCAGGCAGAGAAGCAGGCAGAGAGAGAGGAGGAAGCAGGCTCCCTGCCGAGCAGAGAGCCCGATGCGGGGCTCGATCCCACAATCCTGGGATCATGACCTGAGTCGAAGGTAGAGGCTTTAACCCACTGAGCCACCCAGGCGCCCCTACTTCTTCTTTTTTTTTGATGTAACTTCTATGAATGCATGGCGAAAGACTGGACCAAATTAGAAGCATAAAAAACAAAACACTGAGTCTCCCTCATCTCCTCCCTCATGTCATTCCTTTCCTACAAGTAAACATTGTAAATATTATGATGTGTGTCTTCCCAGATATTTCCCTAACCACTGTAACATACACTTACATATGTGTATATATACGCCAGTTTAATCTCTATTGTCAAAACATAAGTTGATCATGTTACAGGCACCGTTTTTTTTTTCTAGTTAACAAAATAACCTGGAAACTTGACAGTATAATGTATTTTTTAAAAGATATCACTTTTTTTCCCCCATCCTATACACCTATTTACTCAAAATGTGGATTATAATATGTATATGTTATATATATATAATACATATATGTATAATATATAATACTAAAAAAATATTTTGTAGCTGAACATTATGTTAATACAGTGCTACTTCATCCTTTAACAGCTGTTTATAATTTCATTGAATGATCTTACTGTGATTTATTTAACAGTTGCTTATTGAAGGTCATTAAAATTGTTTATTTCTCTCCATTATAAACCATGTTGCAACAAAGATTCTTGTTCTACATTTCCTATTTACTTATCTATTCATTTTGAGGTAGTTTTTTTAAATGTATTTATTGGGGGGGGTACTGGGAGGGAGAGGCAGAGGGAGAAAATCCCTCAAGCAGACTCCCTGCTGAGAATGGACCCAGATGTGGGTATCAGTCTCATAACCCATAAGATCATATTTATTTCCAGAGGTCAATTCCTAGAAGTAGATTTTTCTGAGTCATCAGATAAGTATACATTTTTAAAAAAGATTTCATTTATTTATTTGAGAGAGAGATCACAAGTAGGCAGAGAGGCAGGCAGAGAGAGAGGGGGAAACAGGCTCCCTACTGAGCAGAGAGCCCGATGCGGGGCTGGATCCCAGGACCTGGGGATCATGACCTGGGCCAAAGGCAGAGGCTTATTAACCCACTGAGGCACCCAGGCGCCCAAGTATACAGTTAAAATCCTGATGCACATTGCCAAATAGCCCTCCAAAATCATTTTGCCAATTCCATTCCCAACAACGGTACATGGAAGTGTCTGTTTCCCCACACCATCAGCACAGGAGGTTACCAATCTTTTAATATTTTGTAATTTAATGAAATCTCATTTTAATTTGCATTTCTTTGATTAATGAGGCTGACAGTCTTTGTTTTTTTAGCTATATGAGTTTTTTTTAATGATTTCTAAGTTTGCTTGTTGACATATTTTACCCATTATTTTTACTGGGATTCTTAAAGACTTGTAAAAAGTCTTTACATAGTATTTTACATAGTAAAATGTCACATATTGAACTTTTTCTTGCCAGTCTGTCATTTACTTAACACTTTGTTTTCAATGCGATTTTCAGGTAGTCAGATCTATTAATATTTTTCCTTATGGCTGCAGGCCTTGGTGTCATGCTTACAAAGTCCTTGTCTATCTTGAAATCATAAAAACATTCTCTATTCATATATGCACACCAAGAATGGCAAATCTGTAACTTAGCAAAACCAAAACTATTCATTTGAGGAAAAGTACTATGTACTAATACGATATTTTAACAACTATGAAAGTTTCCAATTCCTCAGTGATATTTTGTGATATACAAAGTAGGAGACAAAATACTACAGTAGCCGACTGTCACCAATTATGGAATTACCTAAAGAAAAACAAAAGAGGTCAAGCTATGACTGCCTCCTTCTGCCCTGAGAGTTTGGATACTAAAGGCAGAGAGAGCTAATGCCCAGTTCCTCTACCCACAGTTAATCTGGTTTACTCAGACTATGGAGCACAAGCAATAATATGGGTAAATGCCTCTTCTTCTTAAGAAACACAATGGGAATAGAGTGCACTGTGGAAAAAACACATGCTTAGTTCTCCAGCTACAAGACTTTTATTAAATTCCTTGTTAAGTGGGCTAAACAAGCTGGAGAACAATGCTGATAATAAGCAATCAGTCCACAAGGGACAGCCTTTTCCCCCCACAAACACTGAATGGCAGAAGGACTATTACCCAACAAACATTCCCAACCCTTTCTCCCTTGCCTGCTCCTCCACCTCAAGTAGCAAGGTAGCACAGTTCTAACAATTGAGATATAAAACATTTGGAGGGGATTCTGGGGAAGCTTTTACTTTTCTGATAAAAGAAAGCGGGTATATCTGACACTACTTCTTTTCTCTCTTCTTCCTACCATGAACATGTTTGATGGCTAAAACTGCAGCCGCCATCTTGGGACCAAAAGAGAAAGACTAAGAGAAACTAGCCCTTTTATCATTGAGAAGGGGAAACCACTGCCAATAATTGCATGCTACCCCTAAAGTTTTTGTCAAAAAATAAACTCATTTGCTTATATCTCTGTAAATAGGTTTTAAGATTCTTGCAGACCAAGTCCAACATAATCCTAAATAATACAGTCAGTTTTAAATCATCTTTGGTTAGCATTTGGTAGCAACCCTCAGAAATTGTTAAGTGAATAAATAAGATTCAGGAAAACTAAGTGCCCCTGGGATATTAGGTGATTCAAGAATAATCCTAACTACAAAGGACAAAAAGTTGTAGATGCCACCAATAATATACTGGGTTTCACACTTTATGCCTGGGGTAATAATGTTTCCTGAATGGTTTGTCTTCATTTTTGAACATCTAGTTTTCCTTTCCTTTAATATAATCTTCCACGTTGTCCTGACAGGGACTGTAAGTTGCACTCAATTTACTCTGTAATTTCAAAAAAACAGACTAGATCCAGAAATAAGTGGAAACAAACAAACAAAACCCCCTAGCTGGACAAAGGCATTCACTCACAAAGCACAGGAGAGCATGTGAAGTCACGAAGTTTCTAAGTACAAATATACTCAGAACCCTCCATATGTTCTTTTGCACTCAAAGTACTCAACAAAAGCAAACAAAAAAGAAGTAATCATATGTTCACCTCAACTTGCACATCTACTATTTTTTAGGCCAGGACAGAAAATCTGATGAAGTTTAGTAGCAGATGAAATACTCTCAAATAAAAAGGGTAAGTGAACTTTGAAATAAAGCTGGCAAAACCCTTACATGCTTACCCTACGACCAGTAATTTCACCTGGTAAAGATTCATGTTTACAAATGTCTACCATAGCATTATTTACAATAATTAAAAATCATTTAAATGTCCAACAAGTAGTGAATAACTAAATGAGCAATATAAAAATATTATAAAGTCATTTAAAATTTGAGTTGTTACTGACATTAAAATGCTTACACTATACAAATATTTAAAGAAAAAATTCCCATAGAATGTAATTTTAATTATATTCTAAAGAAAAACAAGAACATTCTCAAAGGAAACTCATAAAGACTGAAAGGAGGCATGCCTGGCTGGCTCAGTCAGTGGAGCATGTGACCTCTAACCTCAGGGTCATGAGTTTGAATCCCACGTTGCGTGCAGAGTACATTAAAATAAACAAACAAACAAACAAACAAATAAATAAATAAAATGTCTAGGAAAACTGGGGGGGAAAAAAGGACTGAAAGCAAACAGTCAGAGATGCCTCAAGTGGCTCTCTCCTGCATGTGTGTATATTTAACACACATACACTTCCCAGCTCCCTACACTGACAGCGCCTAGGAACAGTGAAACGCCATGACAATGAACACCCTTAGCACACAGATCTTGGCTTCTAAATACCACAATACACAAAAAGGAATCAGGGCTCCTTGAAGAAAGACTGACTCCAGAGCTGGAACAGGGAAAGTATAAGACAAGCCTAGAATACCCTGTTGTGCCAGAAAGTAAGAACACACTCAAGGAATGGAGACAGCCCAAAAGGACATAAGCCAGCTTGAAAGAGCTTCCATTAACATGGAACAATTTCAAATAAAAAATAATGACAGTAATAGGTTATAATTCACTGAATAAAGTAGGAAAGCATAAGTTCATACGATATAAATGAATGGCAAATAAACGAAAGAGAAGGAAATGGCTAAATAAGTAATACAGAAATATTACAATGTAGAAAGCTAGAATGCTAGCTAATACAGAAGGAGTGAGTCTTTGAAAAATGGCTATTAATTGTAATATTACAAGGAGACATTTTTCCATACATTTCTGTCTTGTTTCAGTTTATAAAATGAGTATGTCCTCAACAGCAGCCTGAACAAACACAACATAACAACATCTCTAAAGCACTCTCTATAGAGACATTTTAAAAAGGAGAGCATATGCACAAAACCCCCCAGCCACAGAAGGCATGCACATGCACTGTCGTGACCTACCTTTCCATACTAGAGAAAGGCCTAGATGCCTTGGCAGGTGGCTTAAGTTAAAAACCAAACAGCAAAATGAACAAAAAACCACCAGAGGCAGCAACGATATTCACAGAAGTTTTGGTTTGGTTCTACAGTAATTATGGGGTGAAGAAAAGTGACAAGCACCCTTACTATGATGCCAATGACAAATGGTTAACTGATAAGAAGAAATGGAGAGGGCGACAGGCTGTAGAACAGGTCAATATCAGGCTGTCATGGAGCCATTTGAGACACATAATTAATCTATTACTCACCTGGCATCATCATTCATTGTAGTATGGTCAATAGGTGCCATGAAGCTCAGTAGCTTGCTGAGGACATGAAACCTAAATAAAGCAGAAACAAACAGGCAGTGACATTAGTAACTATTAACCCAGAAAACGAAACACATTCCATGAGTTAATAAAGTCCAGAACTGATCACAGGAAAGTGTGACTCCAGAGTGGAATGGAGAACAATTCATAAGCACACACTAATCACAAATGTATTTCCCTCTTTTCCCTTAATATTACAGGAGAAAAGTCTCGTAACAGCACATTGTAAATGACAGTAGTTCAACACAGATCCATTTATACCATAGTCTCAAAAAAGAGTAGACACACTTGTGCCCTTAAGCAATATACTAACCCTTAAACTTTATTCCAGATAGAAGAGGAGGAGGAGGGTGCCTGGGTGGCTCAGTGGGTTAAGCCGCTGCCTTCGGCTCAGGTCATGATCTCAGGGTCCTGGGATCGAGTCCCGCATCGGGCTCTCTGCTCAGCAGGGAGCCTGCTTCCCTCTCTCTCTCTCTCTGCCTGCCTCTCTGTCTACTTGTGATCTCTCTCTGTCAAATAAATAAATAAAATCTTTAAAAAAAAAAAAAAAAATTTTTTTTCCAAAAAAAAAAAAAAAAAAAAAAGAAGAGGAGGAGGACTTGAGTACTCCATTTTCTAAGTACATCTTAATCATTTTTCTATGTCATTACTAGTAAGTAGTAAGCACAGTAGTGGTGCAACACCCGAATACAATGCCTCACATCACCATCACTCATTAGCACTGGTTCCCTGAGTCAGAAAAGGCTTCTAGAATTCCACATCATCTCTATTCACTAGATCCAGTCTCTCATTTCACCCATCTTTAAATGAAAGAGTACATCTGAGACATAACCAGTTTGATCCTTAGCTCTTCAAGTCATGGTGTTATGGAAATTTAAATTCTATCACTTCCGTTTCCCCCAACAGAAAAAAAAGGGTATTTTTGCACAAAGTGCTTTGAGATCCTCTGATGAAAGGCGCTGAACAACTATATGACCTTATATGGACCAAATTCTACCAAAGAGAATCCACAGGAGGTAGCCCTTCTGTTCATTGTAACAGAAGAGGCTGTATGACAATATGCATATTATAAAATTCTAACTAAAAAAACTCTATCGGCGGTGTGTGTGTGCGTGTGTGTGTGTGTGTGTGTGTGCCTGGCTGGCTCAGTTAGTAGATCGTGTGACTCTTGATCTCCAGGTTGTAAGTTTCAGCCCCATGCTGAGGGTAGAGATTACTTAAAAAATAAATAAAATCTTTTTAAAAACCCACAAAATTCTACTTGGGCAGAACACTATCCACAAACAAAAATATGATATTTTCACGTACATAATATTAGCCTTACAGTATTACAAACATTTTTACACATATCGAGTAATTTGATTCTCTATGGTACCACCCACAGCTAAGCCTCCCAAATTTCACCTTTTTAACAAATGAATTTTACAATAATAGTGATATTTCCTCCATTACACGAGTAATAGAAAAGGTATAAATTCATTATAGAAAATATGGAAAGAAACCAACAAAGCACACACACAAAATGCATAGTTCCTCCACTTAAAGAGAGCTGTTAACATTTTGCTTAGTTACCTCTGTTCTCATAGTAATCCTGTTATTTACACACACACACACACACACACACACACACACACACACACACACACTTTTGTATTCTCTTTTTTTCACTTAGCAGCATTGTAAGTAATGGCCCATAACAATATCTGGATAGCTGTATACAATCCCAGGAGTGGAAATAGTATAATACATTTTTGAACATTTATATTGCTTCCCATTCTTCACGTTTCGTAAGATGTAAAAACAAAATCTCTGTGCGTACATGTTTTTTAAAAATGTCTGCTACCTCCTAATTATAGAAAGTAATATACAATTCTTATAAAAAAAGATTCAAATACAAAAATGTATAGAAAACTGACAAGCCTCCTCCAGTCCTATCCCCAGAAATAATCACTGTTAACTAAAACTGTTAAGTGTGGCTGTAGCATTTTCCATATATAAGACAAATATAAACTTAACACATTTTTCACATAAAAGGGAGATTGTAATATACTTGATATTCTACATTATACACTTTTCCCTGCTGAACCATAACACAGTCTATTCTTTTTCATAGTTGCAGAATATTCCACTGTGTCAATATATTATAATTTATTTAATTTCCTATTAATGGGCATTTATATGGACTGCTCCTCCCCCTTTTTTTAAAGATTTTTTTCTTTGTTTATTTGACAGAGAGAGAGATCACAAGCAGGCAGAGAGAGAGGGGAAGAAACAGGCTCCCTGCTGAGCAGAAAGCCTGATGTGGGGCTCAATTCCAGGATCCTGAGATCATGACCCGAGCTGAAGGCAGAGGCTTAACGCACCGAGCCACCCAGCCACCCCAAGCTTAGACTGCTCCCCTTTAAAATCAGTACCAAACAGTGTTAAGGTGAAGATTCTTATACATAAATTATTGTATATTTGTTTACATGTATCTTCAGGATAAATTTTGAAATGTGAAATTGCTGGTGAATCTAAAGATACACATACTGAAAATTGAAAGACTGAACCAAAATACCCTCTCAAAGGTTATGAGAATATAAATAGTCACATAACCTTTTAATTTAAGTATAAAGCATAAGTATTATTAATAAATGCATTTTAATGTCTTGAGGCTTCACCAAACTTTGGTGCCCATCTGAAAAAAGGAACACTATTCTTGGCTGTATCCAAAGAGAGGTTTATGAGGCACCTGGGTGGCTCAGTGGGTTAAAGCCTCTGCCTTCGGCTCAGGTCATGATCCCAGGGTCCTGGGATCGAGCCCCACATCGGGCTCTCTGCTCTGCCACGAGCCTGCTTCCTCCTCTCTCTCTCTGCCTGCCTCTCTGCCTGCTTGTGATCTCTGTCTGTCAAATAAATAAATAAATAAATAAATCTAAACAAAAACAAACAAAAAAAAAACAACAGAGGTTTATAATCCACTCTCTGGACAAAGACTATGAGCTCTACTCCATAGCTGTACTGTCCAATTCAGTAGTCACTGGCCACATGCCGTTACGAAGGCCCCTGAAACCATGGCTAGTCTGACTGTTGCGGATGGACCAAGTTAAGTGCACCAGATTTTGAAGATTCAAGATTTAAGAAAGAATGTAAAATATACACCACTAATAATTTTAAAATAATAAATTGTTGAAAAACTGGGTAATAATATTTGACATACTGGGTTAAACGAATTATTTTTTAAAGATTTTATTTATTTATTTGAGCGAGAGAGAGAAAGAGAGATTATGAGCAGAAGGAAGGGCAGAGTTCTGGAGAAGCAGGCTTCTCACTGAGTAGGGAGGCCGATGAGAGCCGGATCCCAGGACTCTGGGATCATGACCTGAGCCAAATGCAGACGCTTAACCGACTGGGCCACCCAGGCGTCCCTAGGTGAAATATATTATTAAGTCCACCTGATTCCTTTTACTTTGTGGCCACTAGAACATTTAACATTGCATATGTAATGCAAGTTTTTATTGGATGGTGCTGCTCTGTGGAATACCTTTACATTTTAATACAATATATTCAATAACTATTAACAGCATGACGAAAGACAGACTTTAAGAAGTAATCACATTAAAGACAATTTAGTAATGTGTACTTAATGCAATAGGTTTCATCTGATCTCAGTGCTGCTGAGGATGGATGCATGTTTTAGTATTAAAACACCTTTTAACAACCATGCTAAGAAAAGATAAATGGCATTTTGCTGAAGAAGAACAAACACAGCAAGACATCCTGTTACCAAAAGCCTAAATTTAATTCACTTACATTATGAATTCTGATTAAATCATGATCAAATCTACTTAAATATGATGCTAAGTAAAAATAATCAACAGGCATAATTATTTCCCCAAACGCAAATATTCCTTTTCTAAAAATAAATTATTTTCTAGCATCCAACTAACAAGCTGCCATGCCCAGTCTGACCAGGCTGATGCCATTAACCTGTTATCATTTAAATGATCGTTCGTCTGTGCTATGACACTTCTGGAAATATTCCCTTTCCAACTCTATGGCAAACAAAGAGCAGAACCTGCTCACTAGTGGAATCCAGTATCGGTGATGACAGCTGGCATATCTATCAGCTCTTCCTGAGGTCTCATTTAAAGATGTTATTTATAATAGTTTCATCTAGCCTGGCCACTTGTTTAATCCTTCAGGGCAGAACGCTAATATAACCAATATGTCATTCTGGTGCCTGCAGAGGCCAGTAAGTCCTGCCCAGAGAGAAACGAACAGGCCACAGGTCAGAAGCATGGGCTCTGCAATCAGACCACTTAGCTCAAATCCAAATTTGCGACTTCCCAGCTCTGTGCAGGCTGCGTGAGCTGCTTCCCTTCTCAAAACACTTTACAGGAATCAGCTCACCTAATCTGATACCACCCCTCTAAGATGGGACTTTTAGGAATATACACGTTTCACAGGTAAGGAAACTGAAGCACAGAAGTAAACTAGCTTGCCCAAGGTCCCCGGGGTGGGAGGGGGTAGGTAAGTAGCAGAGTCAGGTTTCAAACCTGGACAAGGAAGCTCCAGAGTGCGGTTTTTGTTCTCTCTGCACGTAAACTGCTTAGCAGTGCCTAACAGTGAGAGTTTTATAAATGTGATCACTGTTGCTATTAATAAAGACCACCCTCTCATTCTGACCACATTCCTCACATTCATGGTCACAGGAAAGCCAGGTGAATATGGATGACAAAACTGCAAAACAATGCAAAACATATGACCTTCTTTTAAAATTTTTTTTTAAGGCTGCCTTGGTGGCTCAGTCGTTAAGCGTCTGCCTTTGGCTCAGGTCATGATCCCAGGGTTCTGGGATCGAGCCCTACATCGGGCTCCCTGTTCTGCAGGAAGCCTGCTTCTCCTTCTACTTCCCCTGCTTGTGTTCCCTCTCTTGCTGTGTCTCTCTGTCAAATAAATTAATAAAATCTAAAAAATAAAATAAAACTTTTTTTAAAGTAGCCTCCAAGCCCAGTGTGGAGCCCCAAACTTGTTTTTGGTGGGGTGGCGTGGGGCGGGGTGGGGAGAGGGAGAATCCCAGGTCATCTCCACGCCCAGTGCAGAACTGACATGGGGCTTGATCTCACCACCCAGAGATCATGACTGGAGCCAAAATCAAGGGTCGAACACTCAACCGACTGAGCCACCCAGGAACCGCAGTCCCAAACTTTTTAACTCAACAACTAATTTGTAGTAATTTTAGACTTGTAGAACAACTGCATAAATAATAGAGAGAGTTCATGAATACCCTTGCCCAGCTTCTTCTAGAGTTAACAATTTACATAAACACAGTGCGATTATCAAAATCAGGAAGTGAACCCTGGTATATACTACTATCTAAATTACACAGCTCTCAAATTTCACCCGTTTTTACCCTAGTGTCCTTTTTCTTTTCCAGGCTCCAATCTAGAACCCCAAACTGTACCTACTTGTGATGTCTCCTTAGTCTCCTTCACTCTGTGACAGTTCTTCAGTCTTTCTTTGTTTTTCCATGACTCACTACAGTGTATAGAATAAAGTCCAAATTCTTAGCATGGCCATGACCTAGCACTCATCTACTCACACAGCCTTATCTACTGCCATTCCCCCCTATGCATTTTAAGTGTTTGCCAAAACAAATTAAATTACAGTTTCCAAAATGGCCACATACACTCTCAAGTCTGTTTTTAAAACCATTATTCTCTGTGGCCTTTCACTGGGCTGACTCTTCTAGTCTGCTTAGTGTGGAATGTGGATGGCGTGTCAGACACAGGCTTCCTGAGCAGCCTGCACTCCCCCAAGGGCACTCAGGTGACCTGGCCACCGGGAGAACCTCCACCACAGGGCCTCCCACAGAGCATCACTGTCTGCTGCCCTCTCCTTTTTTTGTATTTTTAAAGAGAAAGAGAGCACGCATGGGTGAGCAGGGAGGGGGTTGCAGAGGGAGAGGGAGGGAGAATCTTAAGCACAATCCACACCCAGTGTGGAGAACAATGTCCAATCTCACAACCCTGAGATCATGACCTGAGCCAAAACTAAGAGTCAGACACTTAACCAGCTGAGCCACCCAAGCACCCCACTGCCACCCTCTCCTGAGGACACACTCCTGAAGGGCAAAATGAGTCTTACATGGCACCCAATATGGTTCATTGAACTTCAGAAGGAATCTTATTTGTACTAAAAAAAAAAAAAAAAAAGATTTATTTAATTGAGAGAGAGAGAGAGAGAGAGAGAGAACAAGCAGGGAGGAGGGGCAGAGGGGGAGAATTCCAAGCAGAGTCCCCTCTGACCAGGGAGCCCGACTCGGGGCCCAAACCCACAACCCACGGGATCATGACCTCGGTGGAAATCAAGAGTCGGAAGCTCAATTGACTAAACCACCCAGGTGCCCCTCCTTTTTGAATTTTAATTAACCATGCCTTACATTTTAATGTTTAGCTCCATTTAAATAGAATGTCTGTCTCTCACTTGCCTGTTGCCAGAATAAGACTTTAAATGTCTTTGGATTTATAGGCATGTGTGACTCTAAATCACTTATCAAAATGCTACAAAGCCAGGTGTATATACTCTCAGTGACCAAACCTCTAATGAACAGTTTAGTGAGGTTAGTTTAATAAATGCCTGGGTGGCTCAGTTGGTTGAACATCTGCCTTCAGCTCAGATCGTGATCCCAGGTTCCTGGGATCAAGTCCCAAGTCAGGATTCCCTGCTCAGTGGGGAGCCTGTTTCTCTCTCCCTCTCCTGCTCCCCTTATTTGTTCCCCCTTTAGCTCTCTCTTTCTGTCAAATAAATAAATAAATAAAATCTTTTAGAAAATAAATTAATGTAAGAAAAAAACTTGCTATTAAAACAAAATCCTGTTTTTTTTCTTTCAACTTAATAAATAATAACCATGGTAAGTATGTTTTGATTTGGGAAAGAACAGACTCATGTTCTCCTAAGTAACTTGCCATGCTAGAAAAGTACTCCCTTTTCCAACATTCACCCAGCTTCTTACACTGCATTATGTTTAAGGGTATAGCCATTTCTCCATACCTGGTGAGCGTGTTAAGTTTAATGACATAATCATCCAAAAACATCTTCTGGCTGACTAATAAAAGGCTGGAATTATCTTAAAGAAGGGAGCACAATTCTTGCCCTCAAGGGGCACACACACGGAGGTACCTACCCCAATATAAAATTCCTAACAATAATGTAGAGGAGGGATTTTGTCCTCTCTCAATTCTTCTGAAGATGGTATATTTGCAACAGCAATAACAACAGGTAAACAAGAGAAACCAAGAAAATTAACACTTTCGAATGTTTACTATGTACCAGACATTTACACATCATTTTAACCCTCAAACCAAATCTATGAAGTAGGGATTATTATACTACTTAGTAAATGAGAAAAGTGAGTCACAGAGATAAAAGAACAACCAAAATCATACAGCCAGAGCCAGAATTTGAACCCAAGCCTCCCAGATGCTAGGCTTCTCCCTCTAGAGAACATTTATCATCTCATAAAGCTACAATTTTGAAAGCACAGCACTAGGGAAAAATCTGTTCTCAACATTAAAGAGTAAGTTTGGCCCTGGAACCTATGCTCTTAACCATCCCACTAAAAACAAACCTGGAGAAGTGTAAAGACATGGAAATTCCAAATACGAAAAAAGTTAAACAAATTATAACAATTTAGCCTGAGATTTAAGAAAGTGACTTTGAATAAAAAGATGGTGAAAAGTTGCTTTGCACTTCTGCAAAGTTAGAGAGAAATACCTATTTCCTGGTGAGTCTGTTAAAAACAAAAACAGATCAGTTAAAGTAGTTGTGAAATCTGCTTCTCTGAAGTTACTTAAATATGAGACAGATCCACATCTGTCTAAAGGGAATTCAATGACAGGCAGTCTCTAATAAGGAGGCAGAATTCGCTATCTGCCTAAACTGTCATAACACAATGAGTTGAAGATTTTTTTTTCCATGTGCACCCCAATTATAAGTAGTTTCTTTGACAGGAGGCTTTGCGCAAATGATACTACACAACAGACATAAAATAAAATATTACCTCTCTGTATACCATACATATACAACATATACAGGACTGAAGGTTTTCTTATAGTCAGAATCTGTTTTCTCATAAAAATTCTATTTCTCTTGGACTGAGCCTGGCTGGCTCAGTCGGTAGAGTGTGTGACTATTGATCTGAGGGTTTAAGTTTCAGCCCCATGTTGGGTGAAGAGATGCTTAAAAATAAAATCTTAAAAAAATGTATTTCTCATTTCATTTAAGCACACTGTTAACATTATCTGGAATCCTTCATTTATATCTTCTTAGCATAGTGTATACATGTATGGCCTCATAAAAATGGACCAATATAATCCTATTCTAAACAAGCATCCAAAGTAAAACTGCTATACTGTTCTGTAGAAATCACTTTTTAAGACTAAGACAATTTCAGGATGCCTGGGTGGCTCAGTCAGTTGGGCATGTGACTCTTGATTTCAGCTCAGGTCGTGGGCTCAGGGTCATAAGATCGAGCCCCACACCGGGCTCCAGGCTGGGCATAGAGTCTGCTTAGGATTCTCTCTCTCGCCCTCTCCCCTCCCCACTCCTGCTTTCTCTCGCTCTAGAAAAAAAAAAAATCCAAAAAACAAAACAAAACAAAAAACTAAGACAATTTCAACTATCTTCTTTTCTTCTTATTTTTCTTTCAGGTAAATGCAGGTGTTATTTAACCCATCCCCTTACAACAGCAAAACAAAAAGGAACTGAACTACAGCATTTCCATTTTAGAGTAAGAAAAATGGAGTCCCCCAAAAGCCACAGACACTGTTTTTGTTATTTTTTTGATCCTTAAAAACAGAATCATCAGGGCGCCTGGGTGGCTCAGTGGGTTAAGCCTCTGCCTTCGGCTCAGGTCATGATCTCAGGGTCCTGGGATCGAGGCCCGCATCGGGCTCTCTGCTCAGCGGGGAGCCTGCTTTCTCCTCTCTCTCTATGCCTGCCTCTCTGCATACTTGTGATCTCTCTCTCTCTGTTTCAAATAAATAAATAAAATCTTTAAAAAAAAAAACCAAAAAAACAGAATCATCAGAAGACATATAGAACTGACATAACAGCCAAAATGTAAGAGTTGTAACATGTTAAAATCTTTTCTAAAAAGTAACTCACCGGAGTTTCCTTCCTTTGCTGGCTTTCCTATCTACTTTCTTGTGGATTTTGCTTCGTAACTTCTGGATCGCAAGCCACTGCCTGGGAAATTCACAAGCAATGTTATGCATCATCACTAACAGAAATAGTTATACTTATTGACAAACTGGAATTTTTCTCACTGCGCAAAGAAATCATCAACCCACATCAAGTTCCTCAAGATAGTCTGGGGCCAAAGCGACTAATCAATTGAAGAGGATTTGTGCAATGAGAAAAAAACAAATGGCAGCTGGGAAGTTCTACAGCGAATTTGGTTAACAATGCTCCTTAGTATCTAGAGTTCCTGTGACAGGCACTAAATCTTGCAGTCCACAGGAAAAGCCAGCAAACTGAGTAGAGAGTTGTTTGCTTTCAATGTTTTAGCTGTGCAGGATGTTCTATTACTAACACTGCAACTGCTCTTCAGTTTGAATAAAGGAATTCTTCAATTTTCCCTTTGTTAATACCCAAGTGCTTTTTTTGGCACTTTCCAATGTTTGCTAATTTTTTGTAATTACCCACCGACATTAGTTTTGCGGCCATTTTGTGTATTTAATTTTCATTTCATCTGTAGTATTTAAGAATGTGCTGCTGAGAGGTAAGGGTTCTTCCCCCCAATACAGTCTCAATACGACTGTCGCACCTACAAAAAAAGTTGCCAGTAATTCTTTACTACCAAATACTGAGTCAGTCTTCAAATTTCCTGGGTCATCTCACTTTTACAGTTAGTTTGTTTGCATCAGGATCCAAACAAGAGTCACATATTCTGCAGTCATTTCAGATGAAAAGGAATTAATTTTTCAAATAAAGGATACTGGCCAAGAAAAATCTTCATAAATTCCTCATATGAACAAATGTGAAAAAAAAAAAAAAAAAAAAAAAAAGAGAAACAGCAACAGCTAGTCATCTTACCTGATTTATACAACGAAAACTCAACATCAGAAAAAAATAATCTAGGGAAATCCAATTACTGTAATCTTAATATAATCTTAATTACCATAATCTATTTTATTGTAAAGTCAGATAAATGTACAATATAATCACCATGCAATTTGCTGTATCACATTAAATTTATAGTGAACAGCTCTTTATAGCATTCCAGAGATACACAAAATATCAACAATATCCTATCCTTAAACCCAAATAATGTTTTACTCAAATAAAATTATTTCATCAACACAAATTTTTCATTGCGTTCTCAAAATGCTGCTTTGCCCAGAATCCCATTCTGGTACTTGCAGCTTTTGTTTCCTTTCATGCTTTTGCAAATTATGGCTCATGGCTATTTAAATGTACACTATTCATTAGGTAGCACTCTAAATGCCCTTTTTATTTTCCAACCACAGGATGAAGCATACACACGAGCCTTCCTTCACTACTTTACATTCTACCCTGACATCTGGGTAATGCTGCCACGTTCCGTTTCTAATTGTGCTGAGGCTTTTACTGAAGGGGTGGAGGTCTAAATTAGGGCAGACTTGAACAAAGCAGATTCAACTATGAGCAAGGAACCTGTTGTGCACAGTGCCACATTCTGACAGCTGAGAACACACATTTGGGTGGCTGCTTTTTATCCAGCGGTCAGAGACCGATACAGATACAATCACAGCTCAAATTAGGGAGCAAAGACCGTTAAGAAGGACTTTGAAAAACAAACCCTAAAACAAAAACATAGGTGTTTTATAATCCCTTATTCAACTGTACTTAAGGTAAGGTATAGGATTTCCATCACCTTGTCTTTCCAGCTCTTACTGTCTTGCTTAACTTTTTTTTTTTAATGTTGCTTAACATTTATAATTATGGAGCCAACCGCTGCCTCTGAGGCAGAATTAAGGGGACTCAAAGGGAGAAACTATTATATAGGCTGCTTGCACAAACAGAAAGCCATATCTAAATTACCTTCCCATGGCCACTTGATCGTTGGGATCCAAGGAGCTGGTTTTCCGTTCTATGAGTTCTCGAAGGAGCTAGGGGAAAAAGGAAAGCAACGGATTTATTTATCATCTCCCAGCACCAAGTGACTTTAAAAGGGCACTGTAGGAATTCTGAATGGCACCGTGACAGCTCTAAAACTACAATCAATAAGGGACAACCCAGTGGCAAGAGCATGACTGAATTCCCATTAACCCTTTCATATTTATATATCTTTAAAAAGGTGGCTACAGCAATAGCTGAGAACAGAAGTCCATTTGGAAGACTTATTGTACTGCAGTTCATTTCAAATGGATCAATGAGTGTGCAACATTCCCCTCACTGTTTTTATGATTAGTTTTGTCCACCTCATCAATACCGATGGAGAATCTTTAAAAGGTCAGGTGGGAAAGGCTGTATGGCAAAAAGGAAAATGCATCTGCTTCTCACCAATAGGATAATGGTACATGGTTAACTTCTGAGCTATAACCTCCAATAGTCAGGAAGGTCTTCCTCAGGCAAAAGCCTTTATTACAGATAATTAAAAGTGCAAACTTCATTCTCTTGCTTTCCATGGCTGGTACTCCCCCAAGCTTACTATGAAGAGATTTAACCACATATGACGCCAACACAGTCAAAGCCATGACAATTTTAAAAGGGATCCTGACAGAAGTCATATGTGTGGACTGCAAATACAACACAGAGAACCAGTCTCTTGTCCCATACAACGAACTCCATGGGCCCCCCTAAATGACTCTCCTACTCTCCTCTTAGTCCTGGGCAGTCCACTGCACACAACCAGAGTGTAAACCTGTACCTTTCACACAGACTTAAGAATTTGCATTGGGTCTTAAAGTCCTAGGTGAAGAGAAGTAATGTTGAGAAGTTAGATATTAGGGGCGCCTGGCTGCCTCAGTTGGTAGAGCGTGTGACTCTTGATCTCAGGGTCGTGAGCTTGAGCTCCACGACGGGCGTGGGGCCTGCTTAAGAATAAAGAAAGGTTAAACATTGAAGGAGGAGAGTTTTAAATTATGATAATAAAACGGGATACATCTCTCCCATACAAGTGCTGTGTGCAGAGAAATAGCAACAGAGATTAAAATCCCAAAAGTCTTCTGAGAGAAATATAAGGGGACACACTAAAATAATCCTGCTCATCATCTGTCAATTATACAGGTTGGACTTTAAAATTTGTTTCTTCACAAAAAAAAAAAGTAATGATTCTGTAGGTGAGGCATGGTAGCAATACAGATATTTCACCACTTTAAACAGCTGACATCTGTGGGAGGATAGAGGAGGAGGAATAAATTCCTATGAAAGTAGTTCACTCTCTGATTTTCATTTGTTTATGTAAGTAGGCACTGGAAGAAGTAAAACAAATTTATAGAAATGTTCATTTCCATAGAAGATGTATCTTTACTGCAAAAGGGAAAAGGATATTTCAATCGCAATTAAAAACCCTCCTGTGATGTTTCTTCATTTGCTTATTTTGGACATTATTACTACAGCAATTACGTTTAAAAATGCAGGGACCAGAGGCCACTGGTTTATTATCACTAGAAAACAGCAAGCTATTTCTCTACACTGTTTATCTGATTGATTCCCAACATCTTTCTGGCAGCCAATCTATCAGTTTATCTCTCCTACTTCATCACAGTCACTTCTGGCAGCTAAATACAAGATCCAAATCCAGTGTTACACAGACATACGACACAGTAAACCTGTGTAGCACTGCTACTCTGTAAACAGCTGCCCTGAAGGCTGAGCCAAAATGGGCTCCTGGTTCCTAGTCAATGTTCTGTCAGAAGCGTGGCTGGGGCGGGGGGTGAGGGTGGTGGGAAGGCAGAGAGGTTGATAAGGAAAACAGAAGAAAGAGAAGAAAAAGAAGGGAAAGAAAATATGAAAAGGGATGGGAAATAACGAAGAGGCTGCATCTCATTGCCCTTACCTGTTCCAGCCACAGAAGAGACTGGAACAACGGTTCCTGGTTTTCCTAATCGGCTCTGATCCCTTGAGACTGGGGTTGTCAGGACCACGGGAAGCAAGTGCTCACGGAAGGCTGCCCTAGCACAACAGGGGTGATCCTCGGCAAGAAAGCCCCATATGCCCTTCCCAAAGACTGGAGACTGAAGCCGCACGACTATGGTGGGTCTGTTAGGTTTGCAGTGGTCCCTCCATTCAAACACTGAGTTGGCGCAGCATTTTCTCTCTGTACTTTCCATATTCTGGGCTGCATTTTCACCACCCAAGTGCCCTGCACAGCTACCCTTAGTCATTTGTGACAAGGAAGGTGGTTTTACTGGTCAATCTGGCCAAGTCTACTTTATTCAGTCCAGTGAGGCAGAAGATCCTGTTGCATACAAGGTAGGAATAAGAAAGTAGCCAAAAGGGGCAGCACCTGGGTGGCTTAGTGGGTTAAAGCCTCTGCCTTCTGCTTGGGTCATGATCCCAGGGTCCTAGGATAGAGTCCCGCATCGGGCTCTCTGCTGAGCAGGGAGCCTGCTTCCCTTCCTCTCTCTCTGCCTGCCTCTCTGCCTACTTGTGATCTCTGTCAAATAAATAAATAAAATCTTAAAAAAAAAAAAAAGAAAGAAAGAAAGAAAAGAAAGAAGGAAAATAGCCAAAAGGGATGCTTGGGTGGCTCAGTTGGTTCAGCATCTGCCTTCGGTTCAGGTCATGATCTCAGGATCCTGGGACTGAGCCCTACATTGGCCTCCCTGCTCAGCAGGGAGCCTGCTTCTCCCTCTGCCTCTGTCCCTCCACCCTGCTCCTACACTCTCTCTCTGACAAGTAAGTAAAATCTTAAAAAAAAAAAAGAAAGAAAGAAAGAAAGAAAGTAGCCAGAAAATACAAGTAAACAAACTATTCCCATGGCTACTGCTATTTCCCACAGCTAACACAATCACTGGGTTTTAATTTAATTAGGAAAACTGCTTTCAAAAAAGTTACTGGAAAATTAAGCTTTAGGAATATTGCTGAAGAATTAATTTTGCTTCTCAGTTCAATTTTTATAGCTTAACTTTATGAATAAACTTTTCTATTAAAATACAGGTTTCTGTTACAGTTAGTGGAGCTTTTTCTTTTCAACAATAATGATGTAGTATTTCTAATTTTCTTTGTGACTCGGAAAATGGAGACATGTGTGAAATATTTTTGTTCTAGTCTGTTTTAATCCCAAAGTCAGCTCACAAAGGCTTGATTGTTTCTCTAGTTCCAGGGGAAAATCATAGATGTTAGGTTTCCAGGTCAGCCCACCAAAATCTACTTAACCCATAACAACATACATGAGGAATAGCGCTGATGGTACTGTTCAGCATCTAATCAGCATTTATAATACTTTGTCTAGAAAAATGCACGCCAGAATCAGTTAAAAATGGCAGATTGAACACATTAGTTTATCTCTTCTCCCTTCTCAAGCCCTCTAAAAGACAGGAGAGGAATAAAACAAATGTATTAACCCACGAGAAAGAAGAGAAAGGGAGAGTTAATGAGAGCAGATTTTCATAAATTTTTCAAAGACAGTCAGGAGATGGAAGAGTAAAAGGCAGTTATCACCCAAGTGCCCAGAGGGAATAAAGGTGAGGGTGGAACTAATTAGGCCCACAGAATCCCTGTGAGGAGGAGCTCTGGCAGTGGCAGTTACCACAAAGAGGGAGAAGTGGGAGGGGACAGCACCACTGGGCCTTCTCCATTATCCCACAAGTGACTATACCCTTTTTCCCCCCTCACAGGGAGAAAAGTTTTCTTCTCTGGAAAAACTGAGCCCCGGAAGCTCCAGAGAGATGGCTCTGAGGCACAGGAGGCTGGAATGAGGTAGAAGAAAAGGTGCCATGCCAGTCCCTGGGAACTTCTGCCTGCTTCCCTTACCCTACAAACAGAATGCCAGCACCCTGACACAAAATCTCCCACTCAGGAGAGCAGAGGAGTATCTCTTGGAGAAACTGCATGGTTGATCCCTCCACTCCCCAGAAAATATCTCCAAGTTCTGACATTTGAAGACTATTCCAAACAAGATGTTAGTTCACAGAGCAATTATAGTTAAAGAAGCCAAAAAGCTCTGCTCAGGTTTCAGAGGTACTCTGAATGTCTTACTACTAAATATGAAGAGAGTTAAGGACCACTGGCATCTGCGGAAAGGCTCAGACAGACCAAAGCAGATAGGGAAGAGGGGATCCAAGAGAGCAACGAAGGAAACAAAAGAAACCTAAGAAAAGAAAGAAAGAAGAATGGAAAAGAAGATATATTCCTGTAAGAACAGGAGGATGTGAGAAAAGAGTAAAACAAGAAATTAAATACAAAACAGAAAAAAAAATTAAATTTCAATAAACTGGAAAAGAAATGTACAAAAACCCTTCAGCTATAAAACAAAAAGGCAAAAGGATAACAGACCCTTGCTTATTTGTAAGAGAAGAAAAAAATCTAGAGGACAATCCAGAATGTCAAACATCTGACTAAGAAAGGCTAGGAGGACATAATTAGAGAAACAGTAATGAAAATTTCCCAAATCGAAGGACAGGAATGAGCCTGAAAAAAATCTAGTACAATGAATGAAAAAAAGACCTTTCCCAAGACACATCAGCATGAAATGTGGAACACTGGAAGTACAGAGAAGATCCTAAATGCTTACAGAAAAAATAGGTCACATATAAAGAGGGTGACCGTATGTCCCAGTTTACCCCAGAGAGTCCTGGTTTACGCCTGCTGTCCTAGTATTCTTTTTCAGGCTAGTACCTCAAATGTCCCAGTTTTGGCAAGAGATTATATAGTCACCCTACATATTCAGAAATGAAAACTAAGTGGGACTGGACATTTCAGTAGCAATAGCAAGTAGCAGAGGACCGCAGGGCAATGCCTTCAAAATTCTTTTTTTTTTTTTTTAAAGATTTTATTTATTTATTTGACAGAGATCACAAGCAGGCAGAGAGGCAGGCAGAGAGACAGAGGAGGAAGCAGGCTCCTTGCTGAGCAGAGAGCCCGATACGGAGCTCGATCCCAGGACCCTGAGATCATGACCTGAGCCGAAGGCAGCGGCTTAACCCACTGAGCCACCCAGGCA